TATAAATCTAATTTTCCAACTTTGTAACCTGGGGTGCTATTCTGTCACTTTTATTGCCATCTGCACAAAAACTTAGTTGAAGCAGAACTGCATTACACTTTGTCCCACAGAGTGTGTCCAAGTGTTTGTATTATAACTTAAATGAAATGCATTAATGGAAGCCTTCGGCAAAGCAAACGCTTATTTTGTGCCCTTCAAAAGGGCTTGAGTGATCCTTACCCTGCTGTCTCCATCCTTAATTGGCCTCCACTGTGGGGAGCAATTAAAAATAAATGGTAGCTTGCTGAGCTGCTGGGAGGGATATTCTGCAGCTCTGAATATGAGCATCCCTATACAGGTCCAGCGTCCACCACGCCAGAGAGAAGCAGAGGGAAATAAGATTAACCTGATCAGTTATAAGTATATTCTGTGAAGAACACAACCACTAAAATGAGGGTAGTAATTTAAAACAAAAGTTAAAACATTTGGAAAACTTGTCCAATGAATGGCAACCTAGCCTGCAAACTAAGCATACACAGGTGTTAACTGAAACAATCCCATGTCACCTAGATGCCAAGTATAAGCTCCTTAGAACCATTTGTATCCTGTTAAGTGGAAAACGTTAAAGAAATAAAACATTTAAGGTGCTAGGAATGTTATACAGTAAAGTGTGGCTATTTAAGTGAGGGGAATGAAGGCATGCCCCTTTTCCCTCTCGGACAGGTACTGTACTATACAAGAGCCACTGAGGACAGTAACTACAATATAAAAGCCTCCATCTCAAATTTTAGCTGAGTTATGAACCACCCAGTAGTAGCGAGCTATTGCCTCTCAGCATCATCCTCCAATTATTCATAACATTATGATAATACTACCTTATTTCTCTCGGGGACGTGGTGGCGTTGCGGGTTAAACTGCAGAAGCCTCTGTGCTGCATGGTCAGAAGACCAGCAGTCGTAAGATCGAATCCATGTGACGGAGTGAGCTCCTGTCGCTTGTCCCAGCTCCTGCCAATCCAGCAGTTCGAAAGCATGCAAAATGCAAGTAGACCTCGGTGGGAAGGTAACAGTGTTCCATGTCTAGTCGCGCTGGCCATGTGACCACGGAAACTGTCTTCGGACAAATGCTGGCTCTATGGCTTGGAAACGGGGATGAGCACCGTATCCTAGTCAGACACGATTGGACTAAATGTCAAGGGAAACCTTTACTTTTACCTACTTTATTTCTCAGGTTGATGAAAAATAGGGATGGGTAGTTTGTAGGTCTCCAAGAGTTGTTGGACTGCAGTTCCCAATATTATTCACCATCAGCTATGCTATGTGGAGAGCTGAAGTCCAACAGAATCTTGCTCAACATTACTGTAAAAACTGAAACAACAAATAATCAAATATTTCATGTTTACAGCATGCTTTTGCTGGAATGTCAGTATAGCTATGGCGCTGTTCAGTTTCTGGTACAAAGGAGGAACAAAAGGGCTTATCAAAACAGAGCATTTATTCTCTGCCCTCCATTTGTGCCAACTGTCATCATTTGGTTCCAAATGAATGTGGATCTTAATGGGGTTTCTGTTCATAGTCATTCCTAAAACCTCACTTCATTTCTCTTTAAGAAATCATTATCTTTTAAATAAATGGCTTAAAAATATTTTTTGAAAATTGAATAAATTCTTTAAGAATGATTCTCTATGCTGGATTTTATATTTGTGTGTGTATGTGTGTTTCTTTAGTAGAACTAATATTGAAAACATCTGACCTGAATAATTCACTTCACTCCTTTGGAAATCAGGTATCCTTTATTTATTTATTTATTTATTTATTTTATTTTATTTATATCCCGACTATCTAGTCAATAGACCACTCTAGGCGGCTAGATCAACCTTTTTGAAAACATCAAGGAGTACCTTTCAAAAATGATCCTCTGTGATGGATTTTGTTTTCTTTTTAGTAGTTTGGTGCAAATCTTGAAAGCTTCTCATCTGAGTGTTTCACAGGGGTGAACTCCCTAATCTTCTTTGGAAATGAGGTATCTTTCATAATTGAAAACCACTGAGAAAATCTTTGAAACCCTTTAAAAACTGTGGTGGACTTTTTGTTTTGGGGTTCTACGGTTTGTTTGTTAGGGCTAATATTAAAAGTTTCCAATCCAAGATCTCTTGATACCTGGACTCCACCCCAGTGGAAGCAGAACAACAATATCTTCTAGGCTATTACATACTGAACTTGTAGCTTGCAGTTTGGTTGTAGCTATACTGAGCATTTTTCCAGTAGTGACGTATGAAAGTGAGAGCTGAACCATAAAGAAGGTTGACCACCAAAGAATTGATGCTTTTGAATTGTGGTGCTGGAGGAGACTCTTGAGAGACCCTTGGACTGCAAGAAGATCAAACCTATCCATTCTGAAGGAAATCAACCATGAGTGCTCACTGGAAGGACAGATCCTGAAGCTGAGGCTCCAATACTTTGGCCATCTCATGAGAAGAGAAACCTCCCTGGAAAAAAACTTGATGTTGGGAAAGAGTGAAGGCAAGAGGAAAAGGGGACGACAGAGGATGAGATGGTTGGACAGTGTCATCAAAGCTACCAACATGAATATGACCAAACTGCGGGAGGCAGTGGAAGACAGGAGGGCCTGGCGTGCTCTGGTCCATGGAGTCACAAAGAGTCGGACATGACTTAACGACTAAACAACATATTGAGCATATCCCAATGCTCATCATGAGGCGTATTGAATCCATCTTCTACATGAAGCAAAATTTTTCACATAACACTAATGTACCTATGTCATGTTTCCATCTGTCCCTTGGTTGTTTCACCAAGCAAAGGTACAAGCTATGTCTTATTCAGCTGCCAGCAGTTGATTACATTATTCTCTATCAATGACAGAGATATGGGCAACATATCATTTAAGAACCAAGTAGAAATTGTTTATTACAAGTCATAAAAGTCCATTCAATGTTGTTAACTAACTAAACAACCTTTTTCCTCCACTCTCAACCGCCTACCCTCCCTCTTCCCATCTCTCCTTTTCTTTCCCCACTTAACTCCACCCACCACCAACTCCTATTGGTGCATGCAAATCTCAATATAAATATTCATAAATGTTACACCCAAAGAGAAAAAAAAAGCAACAACATTGTCACCATAAACTAACTAATCATCTTAAGGCATCATGTGCAACAGTTGGGCTGTTGGTGTTACAGTACATTTTTGTTATACGCTAAGCACTCACTTCTGACTTATAGCAGCCTTAATAATGGTTTCTGAGGTACAGTATATAAAATTTGCAAGGAGTGGTTTATTATTGCCACCCACCATTGAATTTCCACAATTCAAAGGGGTTTTGAACTAAGATCTCCTGAGACTCAGACCAACACTATCTACCACACTGGTTCTCAAACACACGTTAGACAAATTTTAATGAAAAGGCAGAGTATTTATCCACTAAAATATCATATACTACCACAGAGGTAAAGAGATACTATCATGGTATAGAGAAAGCACATGGGAATTTTTTTTTCTTCCTGTCATATATATGAAGTCATAGTCCTCCATTAAAACTGAATGGGACAAGCATAGTTGTGTAATCCATTTATGGACCCGCAGTCACCTAAGGCAGAGGTCCCCAACCCCCGGTCCGCAACCCAGCAGTGATCTGTGGCCTATCCAGGACTGGGTCATGGACACAGATCTCCTACCCCCTGCAAGTGCAGATGCATGAGTGCGTTCCACCCCCTGCGCTTGCACCGTGCACATGCACACAGTGGCCCGAGAGCACGTTCCGTCCATGAGCATACTTGTGTGCGTGTGCGCAAGTGGGGCCCCCAAGTGTGATGTGTGCAAGGGAGCTCCGCCCCCCTACTGGCACACCACACACCCTGACTGGTCCGTGGTTGGGGACCACTGACCTAAGGGACTGCATAGCAAAGTGGGGCATTTGAACTCAGGACCTAAATCTAACACTGCCATCACCCAAACCCTTCAGAGGTGAGTTTGGTGGGGGACATAGGAAAGGGCTTTCTTTGTTGCTGATCCCAGACTTTGAAACTCCCTCCCACAGGAGGCTAGGCTGACCCCATTTTTGCTGTCCTTCCACAAGCAGGCAAAAACCTTTCTCTTCGGGAAAGCTTTCCGTTAATGACTGGCTACCTGTGTGGGATTTTAAATTGATGTTTGTGCCTAAATGCTTTGGATGTGTTTATGGTGGTGCATTTGTGTACTGTACAGTATTGTAGTTTGGCGTTGTTTGATCTTTTTTAGTGTTCCTATACTTACTGTTTTTAGTCTTATATATTGTCTTCTAATTATGTAAGCTGTCTTGGGTTCTTTTTTCAAGGAGAAAGGTGGGCTGATAATATTTTAATGAAATAATATACAGTACAGTATAAACCACACAGTTCTTGACTACTGCCGAAGTTTGAGGTCAAGTTCTTCAATGATTTTGTTCCCTTGCGCGAAGTGAATCCAGAGCACGCCTGCTACTTTTGCGGGGTTAGAGAGAAACGAAAGAAACAAACCAAACCGTTAACACAAAATGAAGTACAGTACTGTAGCTGACTTCTCGGTTGACGATATCTAGTGTGTCCCTAAAACGGGCCGCTGAGTTCCTAGCTGAGCGAGAGTGAGCGCAGGTATACCCCCCTTCGCTTCGAGCGCCATTTTGTGATTCTCTCCTATTCAGAGATGGACAGACCGTCCTTTTCTAATGACTGCCTTGCAGCCAAATAACTGCGGTTTTTGGGACGCAAAGGAGAAAAGCTTCTCTAACACGGAGCAGAAACTGAAAAGGAGCAAAACAGCACAGTGACTTGCGCACAGTCTTGCGCAGAAAGCAAGAAGACATAAAGTAACCATCCCCCCCCCCCAATACAGTAACTTGCATTCCACCTGTGAGGAAACAG